ATGAAATGGAAACTGGGGTAATATAGGGATTAAGGAACTTAAATTAAGTTACTATATTGGGGAAACCTTGTTATTTACTATATATATATATACACCCATTATGGTAACTTAATTTAAGGCCCTTAACAGCAACCTAGTAAACCCAGGCACTGTTTGAGGATGAGACCTTCCCTGGCTATGAGCCCTTCAAGCCCCTGCGACTTCGCAACGTTGGCGGTGCTGAGGCTCTGGGGGCTGGGCGGGTTTAGGGTTTAGGGATTAGGATTTAGGGCTTAGGGTTTAGGTTTAGGGATTAGGATTTAGGGTTTAGGGTTTAGGGATTAGGATCTAGGGTTTAGGGGCCTGGGGGGAGTTCGGTTTAGGGGAGACGCTTATTGGGACCTTTAAGGCTTTAGGTGCTTCAAAGCCTAAACCCTTCCAAAGAACCCTTAAGCCTTTTGGGGGGATGTAATGCTATAGAAAGGGGATTGTGGGCAACGGGATTAAGGGTCCCGCCTCATTTAAGGTTCAAGGGTTTAGGGTTAAGGGGTCTGCCAGAGTACATGATCTTCTAAGATGATTTTCCCTTTTGTTTTGGGGTCTCCTTATTAAAGCCGAATGTTAGGCAGTACGGTACCTCTATTGTTTGCGGGTCTCTGGAGAACCTAGACCCTAAACCCTGAAACCCTAAACCCTGAAACCCTAAACCTCTAAACCCTGAACCCCTAAACCCTTAAACCCTAAACTCTAGACAATAGAGGTTGAACCCCTAAACCCTAAACTCTGGATAATAGGGGTTTTTGGGGAACCTAGAACAACAAGGCAGTCAAGGGAGAGCCACCTGGACAGGACAGCGCGGAGCAGGGATGACTTTTGTGTCTTTCAGGGTGGGTAGGGTAGAAGCCTTATTTGCCACTGCTTTTCCCTAAAGGTCCTTGTATAACCTACGTAGCCAATAGGAGAACTTTAAACTTGTTGGGCTTCCTTTTTTTGGGTCTCTATAACAAAGATTAAACTTGTTTAGCCGTGGTTATTGGGGAAGAGAGATAATATTCCGATAACATATAGGTGGCCTCAAACATTTTCTTACCATGTAGTGTCCTGAGTTACTTGTAGCATCTTCCTTCATCCACTCTAGTGCCAAGCTTTCCGAATGCGGCCCCAGGAAAGGGCTCACACCACTAGTCACATAGTTGTCCGATCTGGGACCGAAGTACCCTGCAGGAAGAAAACCCTAAACCCTCAACCAGAGTCATTACATACGGAATGTGTACCGTGCCCCTGCGGTCCCCTGGCTGTCCAACCATAGCCCAACAGCAATGAGGGTTTAGGGTTTAGTCCTACAGTGCACCCCCTAAAACCCTAGATCCCCCCGCCCCACCCGTAATTATATCGGGAAGTGTTCTGGTACGAATGCAGGCGCCCTTCTCACCCAACTTCAGGACAACTAAGGTTCATGTAGAGAATTGAGTTCATCTTTCAACGTCTCATACCCCACACTTAAGTACTAAACCCGTAAGCCCAGCAGGATAAAGAGAAGTCGTATGGGGACTCCAAGGCAAAAGCAAACCGCAAAGCCGGTCAAAAGAGGGTCAATACCCGCTCAAAGCGCCGGACTTGGCTCCTGCATATACAATTTCTAGAAGCCCTAAGCCCTAAACCCCAAACCCTAAATCCTAAACGCAAATCCTAAACTCTAAACCCCCAACCCTAAACCCTAAGTCCTAAACCCTATACAATTTCTGTAAGCCCTTATTCGGTGTGCTTTCTCTAACAGATTTCAGGCCTTGCTCAACTTGGCACTCTGGGAGGCAGGGGCCCACAAACAGAGACCCGGCAGACAGAGAGACCTCATTTAGGGCTTAGGGTTTAGGGCTTAGGGTTTGAAGCCTAGGGTTAAGGGTTTAGGGTGTAGGGCTTGGGAAGGCTTGAGGGGTTACGGTTCTGGGGTCCCATTAAAGACTACCATACGAGCCTAAATAAGGCTATATGGGGATGATGTAGAGACAATTGTGTTGGGGAATGACACAGCCAACAATTTGTCACAGGACCCACAGGCTATGTGGGGATGATGTAGAGACAATTGTGCTGGGGGAATGACACAGCCAAACTTTTTTCGCAGAATCCACATATCACGGCATCAACATGCTGCTTGAAGCCAAAGAAGCTTAGTCTAGATGCCCAGCCTAAACCCTAAAACCTTAACCCCTAAACCCTAACCCCTAAACCTCAAACCCCTAAACCTTAAACCCAAGCCCAAAACTCTGAGCCCTGCAAAAAATACCTTGAGCCTTAGCCCCTAACCCCACCTCGGTGTTGCCGCTTACCATCTTCGGCTTAGGCTCCACCTCGCTGGGTTGGCTTCTGGTTTAGAGTTTATGGCTTGGGGTGCCGGGTTTATGCTCGAGCCCTAAATCCCCAGAACGCCGGTAGCTCATAAATCTAGTCTACGTTACCCTCATTTTCTGCTACCTTGGGGGTATAGTAGCCCACTATTACGGGAAACTTGGCTCTCTAGGTAGGGTTCAAGGGCTTAGAGACTACACTGGCTACACCCCAAACGAGGAGTAGAATTGTCACGTGAAGCTTCGGGAACCCATGATGATGGGGCCTTGCTTTTTTGTCTGGTGCAGGCAGGGTGGGGAGTGTGGGTGTGAGGGCGAGGGCGCTTTTGCATGATGGCCGCAGAGCTATGTTCTAACGCATGCAGCCGCCTGCCTCTGAGAGATTTGGGGGCCTCTCGTTCGCCATGGGCCATCGTGGCTTCTATAGTTGTTGCAGGGGCGGCCGCCACACGTGGCACTAGAACATAACTGCGACTATCGCAGGGAAACATCATTTCTCAAAACCGTATAAAGATCTGTAAGCCCTGAGTACCTAGCATTACATACCCTACGCCTACACCAGAACTATACAAGGGTTCTGCGACCACAGTATGGATAAACATTTGAGCTTCTACATTAGTGCAGTCAATTGGGATACTGTATTATCAAGTAAGATATTACCTTCTTTCTTGCTTCGTCGCTAAGCGCTGTTTGCGGTACGGGAGAGATATAGAGAGCCGCGGCCGAGGTGGTGCAAGATCGATCTGCCGGACATTTCGGAAACTGGTCCGCGGTTAGTTCCATAGCATGGGCATATTTATGAGTATTTATCTAAGGTGGATAGTCGTGCTTCCTTTCTGTGTTAACTACCTCAAGTTCCCCAACAGCAGCCAAGGAGATCGAGGAGTGGCTAAACCTGCCGGCCAACTCAACGGCATGCGAGGCTTCTGTTTGTGCCCCGCTGATGGGGGATAATCGTTTCTACCCTCAAGGCCTTCCCAAAGTATTCGCATACCTACGCTTCACGTCAGATCTCCCGCGCGCACGAAAGCTGAAGTCAAACATTGCCAAGAAGAAGGCGGCGCACGCGCTGCCCTATCCTATCCTGGCATGGAAAGCCTACAGATCAGCAGATGATCTCAGCCGAGACTGGCCTCACCTACAATGTTTGCCAGGGGTTTAGGGTTTTGGAATTTTGGTTTCCAAAGTTGGAGCATTCCATGAGCCTTCGGTGGCGAAGACCTTCACCTCGTGGGTCAGCGACGTCCCCGATGTAGGGATCTTCAAGCACCAGGTCCTGGAACGGCCAGACGGCAAGCACATCAATGGCGCATCTGGCCCCCATGAAGCTTGTACGCATGGGATTCAGCACCCGGGAACAGCCATGCAGCATGATGTTGGTCAACTGCCACTTTTGAAGGCACTTGCCCATGACGACGTGTTGCAGCTACCTATGTCCAAGCCCTCTTATCCTGTGAAGAGACGCCGCGAGGAGAAACAGTTGCCTTGTGGCTGTGGCCTGGGTTTCAATGACCTACATTGGACCCTAAAGTCTATAGATAATATGACGGACATCGGGCTATGTGGATTCCTAGGGTAGGGTTTACGCTACGAAATGCTTTGGCCTTGCACGGAGAGAAGGCAAACCTTGCTAAGATGGGCTTACCCCCCATGATGTGACAGCTAAAGCAGCGGAAGAAGACAATGATCACGAAATGACGCATTCTTTGCTGAAATTCCCCAAGAAGAATAACAAGCCTTTTCTTCAAGCCTGGATAGGTGGAGTTTAGCTTGGACAGAAACCGGCTCCTATTCAAAGAATTGCAAAACTGTATAACCTTACCCAAAGGGTCCATGTAGGTATATGGTATATACTCAGGGCCCAAAGGGGTTCCCATATACCTACTTTAAGGGCCAAGTATATACCATATAGCTACATGGACCCTTTGGGTTACTGTCAGTCTACAGGGGCGCAGAGTGAATGAGTTGCGCTGGATCAGGCAAGGGCTCCATTGCCAGAAGCTGAGTACAGATGTGCTGGGGCGTTCTCAGAGTGTTTGATTGCGTGCTAGACTGTGAACTTGGTGGGTAGGCCCCTGGGAGATTTAATATCTTCCCTAATGGCTGTAATATGGGACTATATATACTAATATTTTTCAAGGGGCTTTAGGGGCCAACCCAGGATTGTGAACTTGGTGCATAATCTGGGGTCCTGGTGACTGTGCTTTGCCAGCCTCCCCAAATGGACCTGTTTGACGGCAGTTCAGGGTTCAGCGTTTAGGACAGAGCAAAAGTGTGCTGCAGGCTCTAGTGTAGAGTTATAATTAACAGGCCCACCACAAAGCTGCTTTGAAACAAAGGCAAACAAAGGCCGACCTTTGCACAATCCAGAACCCCGCATGAAGCAGGATTTGACATGAGTAGGATGTACAAACGTCTGCATGTGAGCTTTAGTCTAATTTCCTAGTATCCCCCTTAATTAATAGCCCCTTTAACAGTCCCCTTTTTGAATCCCTCATGTATACCCTAAACCTTAGATTATAGCTCATATCATCTCTAGTATCAGGTCCTGTAACCCATTTCTACCTTCCGTACCACGCACCAGGGAGTCGCTACCTCAGGCGGTAAGGGTTTAGGGTCCAGCGGCAGCTACCTTCTTTTCTCCTGCAGAAGCCCTAAACCCTAAACCCCTGTAAAGCCGAGATGCCCTGTTCATGAAAGGCAAAGAATGCCAGTTCTTGGGGTATAGGGACCTAAACCCCCAAAGTATGTAAAATAATAGCCCTAAACCCATAATAATAGCCCAAAAGGCCATTATTTTACATACTTTTGGGGTCCAATTAGGGTTTAGGCAGAGGATTGTTCAACATTATGGGTGGGGGAGTGAACAAATTTGGGCCCTACACTTTGAGTCCAAAACCCCAAATCCCAAAACCCTAAGCGCCAACCCATAAACCCTAAACGTTTTAGGGTTTGGGGTTTAGGGGCAAACCCCAAACTCCTTGAGGTTCTGATGGTGGTAGACCTGCTCGACTTTGAAAGTTCTTTGGTCCCAGCCCCAGTCTATGTCCTCATAGGATCTACTTGCTGGTGCTACCAGGCATTAGGTATTAGAATGGGGTGTATTTACGTGTGTGTATATATATATATATACATATACACGGCTGCGGGGGCATGGTTTCTCTTTGGGTACTCTGACATTAGGGATGGGAACCCCAAAACTTGCACCCTAAACCCTGAAATGTAAACTCTAAACTCTGAACCTTGAACGCTAGAACCCTAAACCCTAAACCCCTAAACCCCTAAAATTCTGCTGGTTCGCTCCCGCACTCTTTCTTAAGCGCCCCACGGCTAAGGAGGTCTAAAGGGTTTCTTGTTCAGGGTTTCAGGGGCTTTTACTTCCTTGTGTATATACATATATGTATTTGTTTATATATATATATAGAGAGACCAGTGGCTTTAGATGAGACCGGAAAGGTTCTTAGGTGGGAAGTTTGGAAAAGTTTGATTTACTCAGCCACGGTGGACAACCTGGAGACAGGAGCTCGGCAACGTGCTGTGGAACAAAACGAAACGTCGGGAAGAGGAAGAACAAGAGAGTGTAATCTTTCTATAGAGCTACTGGGTAGGCCCCTGGGATGTTTAGTATTTTCCCTAATGGCTGTAGTAGGGGACCATATAAACCAATTTTTTTTCACAGGGCTTTAGGGGCCAACCCAGGCTTATGTTGGGGTGTCCACCTGGTAGCTTATGTTGGGGTGTCCACCTGGTAAGTCCCCACCCTAAACCCTCAACGCTAAATTCTTAACCTGAAGCCCTCAAGCCCAAATCCTAAACCTTAAACCCTAACCCCTCAACCCCAACCCCCCTCCTAACCCCAAACCCTTGACCGTAAACACCAAACCACCAACCCTAAACCATACACGCTAAACCCTAAATCCTCAATCCTAAACCCTTTTGATTTTGTGGTCTTTTCTACCGCTGTTTCTTTTCTATGGATTAGGGTGTATGGGGTGTAGGGAGTCCTCTCAAGGAATAGGAAGGATTCGATTATATTGGGGTCTATCTGAGGTATAGTCCACACTCCTTAAAGAGAGATACTTACGGGATCATATATAAAGGAAGTAGTATAGTCAATGTTCAGGGGCAATACTAGGAGCTGAGACTATAGCTCATATTGGAGTCTCCTATTTGTGCAAACGCCCCGAGTTATAGTTGGGCAAGTTGAATGACGACCTTACGCTAAGGTCTCAGGGTTGTTTTAGCAGAACATAGTCCCAAATTAGCTCAATTTCAGGTTCTGAAATTAATCGACAGCCAGATACGGGGGGGCCAGAGTTGGATGGAGATATTACATAAGAAACAGACCAAACAGAAAAAGACTCCACACACCTGTTCAGGTTAGAAGAATGCTGCGCCACAAGCATACCTGCTGAAGCATCCTATAGTCAACAACTTTTAGATGCCAGAATAAGACCGACAGAAGTTATACTTGTTCAGGTTCTTCTTGCCTCAGCCTCAAACCCCAACCCTTACAGTAAACCCCAGCCTTAAACCCTGGAACCTGAACCCCCGAGCCCTAAGGCCCAAGCCCTATGAACCCTAAGCTCGAAGTCCAGAAATGAGCAGGCAGCTTGCAATTTGCAAGAGTTGATCCATAAACCCTAAACACTAAAAACCTGTTGCTTGCTAGGGCCTGGAGGATTGGATTCCCACAATCAGCCTTGCATGCCCTCAACCCTTAGCCTGTACTGTCCTTAGGAATTATTTGTGATTTTTTCCCCAACAGCGGATACGCT